CTTTAATAAAATCTTTTATCAGATAGTGATGGAAGGAAACTTCGTTAAGTTGACGAAAGCATATCTGACATGAGCCGGCTGGGGTGGCAGCCACGTGCTTCCTGGCATTATCATTGTCCAGGTGTTTCCCACCTACATACCAGTCTGGTGCTTGGTGCTCAATCCCTGCGAGCTGGTCTTAGTCCTCACTGTTGGTTTAGCTTAGCCGTTGAGATCTGTTTCTCAAAAACAGGAAATGTTAGTTGTGGTTGATGCTTCAGTTATGCAGTTCCTAGAACTAAACACCGCCGTTTTAAATCCCCGATGGGAATCACGCCAGTTCAAAGCCACTGCTTTGCCTGCTTGTGACGTTCCTGAGGCATTTATTGCAACTAATTTTGAGCCATCTACCTGGGAAAACTATGTGCCTTAATCTTACCTAAACTTTTCCCTCTTCTGATTACTCTTTATCTACCATTCCTTTATTTAGAAGAGCACGTGCATTTTTCTTTTCACTTTTAGTCCCACGCACATATGAAAATGCAAAAATCATGAACAAGGAGTGTGTTCAGAAAATAGACCATGGTCTGTTGGCAAGGGAGAAACCGTAAACGTGCGCTATACCACCACCTTCTGTAAAACCAAAGAGCGGTTTCCAGCAGCCGGCCTGATGAGCTGTTAGAACCAGAGAAGGCGTAAAAGCTCAAGAACGCTGCCAAAAGAAAGAGCAGGAAGAGTGGAACAGCTGTGCCAATGCAAAGACAGAGAAAACCTGTTAATAACAACACAAGAACAACACCCCATCTGAAGGTAACTGGCAAAAATTTAAGGAGGTGTCTGCTATTTCCAGTGCAAAAGCAGCAACACAGAACTTGAAGAGATATGAAAAAGCAAGGAAACACGCGAGCACAAAAACAAAATAATTCTGCACTAACGGAGCTGTCTTCCCCAGGGTGCCTGGAGAAGCCAGTTTCCCTCCCACAGCACTCACAGCACTGAGGTGTGACCTTCATGTCTGCGAGAGGGAGGGGAAAAGGAAGGAAGCAGGACAGAATTTCAAAGGGCGTTAAAGGGATGCAGTCCCTGCTGGCCGCCCCAGGACGTCAGCACGCAAGCCTGCACACAGAAGTCTGCACACAAGCCTCTGGGAGTTCCCCACCTGAGGGGCACCTCACCAGGACCACGGGCACCTCAGCACCCGGAGTGCTAAACCCGCAGCTCCCCCTACTCCACAGCCAGATCCTTGAGCTGGCTCTAGGGCTGTGGTGAGAGCAGGTGCCGTGATCAGAGTGCTCTCAGAAGCAGGGACCAGGGTCTGCGGACCAGGGAGAAACCACAAACTGGAGCTTTAGCACCACCTTCTGGAAAAAGGAAAGAGGTTTCCAGCAGCCAGCCTGGTGAGTTGTAAGAAAGGAGAAAACACAAAGGCTCTAAAATTCTGCCACAAGAGGGAGCAAGAAGAGCGAACAGATCAGCCCATAAAAATCCTAGACTGCCCCAGACGCAGCAGCACCAGTGAACAGTCCCCATCTCAAGACAACCAGTAGAGTTTTAAAATAATCAAGGAAATATGCCATCACCGAGAAGAAAAGAATAATTCTCCGACAACTTAGCTCAGATCCATAGAATATTGTGATCTAGATTGGCCATTTTTGTCTTTTCCTGTCTGTGGAAGTAGCTTCTCAGTTAATCCTCAGTTATCCTTGCCCCTAGTTTCACACCCACATGTGGCCTGGATTTGTCAACTTAAGACATAATGCGCAGAATACATCGCAGGAGACGGGGTGCCATTTTCACAATTAGATTATAAAAAGCCTGTGACTTTCCTTTTGGGTTTCCTCTCTTACTCTTTCCCAGATCACTTGCTCTTGGGCCAGCCAGCTGCCGTGTCATGAATAGTTCCAGGGGAGGCCCAGGTGACAAGGGACTGAGGTCTGCCAGCAACCACGTGAGTGAGTTTACAAAGAGACGCCCCCCCCAGCCTTCAGATGAGAATGCAGCCCCAGCTGACAGCTTTGATTGCAACCTCATGAGAGACCTTGAACCAAAGGCGCCCAGCTAAGCCACACCAGACTCCTGACCCACAGAAACCGTAGGTAATGTAGGTTTATTGTTTTAAGCCACTGTATCTTGGGGTATTTTGTGATGCAATAATATATAACTCATGGTGCCCTTGTGACACACCTATGTTGTGGCTACTCTAGAGCATAAAAATGTGTTGAGTAGCTGTCCAGCTTATTCTATCATCCGAATTATTCTCATAAAGCAGAAATTATTCCTTGAGGGTTGTGTATAAAATCTAGCTCATTCTAGCATCTGTTGAATGTGAAAGGATAGAACTTTGACTACTTGCATTTTTATTTTATTGGCCAACTTTGTTGACATGTAATTCCCTAAACAGGTCCATTTCATTCAGATTTTCAGTATAGGGAGTTCACAGTATTCTATAATAACTTTTAAATTCTTCTCCTCCTGTTTTTTTAACAGAGAAGAAATAGACCAAAAGAGTAATGATCTTTTAGTGGTAAAATAATGCATTGTATTTATTATCATCTTAATAATTTTATGGGTTTTCCAATTTTTAAATAAGAGTATATTATTTAGAAATCAGAATTTTATTTTTTTCCAGGATTTTAAATATGTATAGGCATCTACGTACATACTTGTGTGTGTGTTTTATATATATATATATATATGTTTATTTTTCTACAAAGGAAAAGTTATTAGTGATTTAGCAAAAGTGTAATCAGAAAGATGAGAAATGTCAGAAGCCTGTAGGGTAAAAAGTGAATGGAAAGACCTGGAAACAGCACATACTATTATTTCCCTGAGATGAAGAGGGAAAAGTCAAGGTCTGACATAGAAGTAGACAAAAGACAGGAAGGTAATTTTACCTTTTGGTTTTGAAGTACAGGAACTTGAGGATGTTTGCAGACTGAAGGTAAGGAAACAGTACATTTAGAAAGATTTCGGCAACAAGAAGAAAATGAAATTGATACAGTGCAGACTCCAAAGCTTTCAATACTGCTACGCACGGGGAGCGACAGCCAACAGGAACCACCTGATTAAAAGTTATCTGAATATCTAGTGCCTTTCTGGAGAGCTAAGTTCAGTAATAAAACCCAGTAATTCCTGAATCTGATTTATTATCTCATGGTAAATTAACTCCTTCCTCCTCCTGCTGTGACAGTTTGTACTTTGATGGCTTGATGGCTATCTGATTTTCTTCTCTGTATTCTTTTAAGGAAGGGCCTTTCTCAAAGTGCTTTATCTTTCTCTGCTGAGGCCCTGAGCAATCTGGTGATAAGCTACCTCTCAGCACTCACCTGGTGCCCTCCCACCCACCCCCGAATGCAGTGAACCTTCTTCTGACCTTCCTTTGATGTCCCTGACTACCAGCCCGTGGGTCACCCAGTGTTCCTGGGCTTCCCAGGCAGCCTTCCAAGCCTTCTTCTGGCTTCAGATCTGTCTGGATGGGGAAAAAAAATTATAGAAAATGTCAAAGGATTATTGAAAATTCAGCCCTTGGTGTTCCATCAGGGAACTCAATGATTTGTGCTCATAAATTGCTTTGCAGTGTAAACTGTTCTTCCAAAGCTTTTCCTCATGATCAAGAAGCCAAGAATTCCAAGACATATGAAAAAAAATTGGACTCTAGAAAAATCTGAGTGAATTTCGGATTCATGATGAGAGGTGCTGAATACTCCCGGGCAGTCAGGTGAAGTAAATGGAGGCGTCAGCAATAGCCAGCACGCTCCCCAGTGACCCGAAGTTCTCCTGCAAGTCCTTTGGGTCCTGGGAGGGGCTGTTCCCAGGTGCCACTGTCCCAGCAACTTCAGAGGGGAAGAAACCTGAACCCAGGCGTAGGGAAAGTTATCCCCAGAGCTTTCAGCTCCCTCATTGGCCCTCTTTTGGCTAAGGCTTGTGAAGTTTGTCTCTTCCAGAACCTCAATCCCCCGTCCCTCCACCAATCCTGCATCCCTGAGCCAGCTCAAGATGTCATCTCCAAAGACTCAATAGCCAGAGAGGACCTGCTTAAATAATGTAACTACACATTCCATCCACTGAAACCCTGAAATGGGAGAAGTACCCAGAGGAAGCCGTGGCAGAAAGGAGCAGCCCCCTTGGTACTGGCAAAAGGCACTCAGCCCAGAGAAAGACCATCCAAGAAATCATGAAGCTCAAATAAGATCATGCTTTGCAGTCTCTAAAAGTGGCATTCTTACTCGTGTCTTCTTTAAGCGTCCCTAGGCCACCCAAACCACTCTGGGGTTCCTCTGCATTCATCTCCTTAGTGTCTACAAGTTAATTGCGCCTCTTTGTCAGACCCATACTCGGGGTGCCTTACCAGTGTCTCCTCTGTATTATCTGCTTCCCCAAGTACATCTGAGGCTCACTCTTCCTTTTTGTTCCCCCTCACATTGTATATGGCTGTGAAATGGAAACAATGGGTGTTCTCTAGGACTTTAGATACGAAAAATGGTTGATCTCATTCAGCTGGTTGGACAAAGAGGTAATCAGACAAGAGTTTTTCTGTGTCTCACTAGCCTGTATATGGTTTCAAATACAGTGTCATTGCTTAAGTCTGCTAATGTCCATCCCCCAAAATACTAATACATAGGCATGTTGTTATATCTAGTGCTTCTCTTCCTTTTCCTGGGGAAGTAAACTGAATCCTTTTACTCTATAAATGTTGCCTAAACCTTTACAGTTCCTCCAGGAACCATAAGACAGTGGTTTTTCAACAGAGTATATCTCCTGCCTTCACTGTGTCTGCTCTTTCTCTGAGTGCTGTGCATCCTACTGTCTTTGCCCACGCCTGCCAGCACTTAGCAAGTGTACTCTGAGTGACGGATGGTCGTGCCCATTGCATATCTCCTGATACAAAGGCTCATTGGAACACAGAAGTGTTCTTGCTACTGAAAGCTTCAGTAATCATACAGCAGCTCACTTCTTCAGTACGGAACGTAGAAAGAAGTTCTCTCCATCCCAGCTACGGCTTCTCTTTGACTTATTCAACCATGAGGGTCTTGCTTTCCATCCTTGGGGTCCTTGCCTTATTGTCCGTGGTTCCTCAAGGTAAGATGGGGACCTTTCATTCCAGAGTTATGAAAATATAAGTGAAAGAGAATACAAGGTCTTCCAAGAGTCTGAAAATCAATTAGACAAGGGCAGATTGCACCGCGCAACAGAGAACCTCGTGAGGGGCGTGCTCAAGCTGCTCAAGGAGTGGAGAGTTGACGGGAAGGACAACGTCCATAATGTTGTGCCCTTCAGTGACTTAACCCATCATAAACTCTAACTTGAGGGCTGTGTTTGATCTAAAGAAGGTGTTTACAAGACACAGGAACTTTGGGGAATTGGAAAAATGGTAAGTGGGTGGTGATTAGAAGAAGGGCCAGGTTGAGGAGGCAGCGGCTCCATCCTAATCTGTGCTTCCCTCTGACCACTGATCTGGGTGAAGGCTTCTTTGGAGG